TGCTAGCCACCGTGATGATGATGAGAGAGAGAGACATGCAAACTCCAAATATACAGCAGGTGTCGTCAGGGCCGGGATCGAACCCACGACCTCCTGTGTGCTGGGCGAGGTAGTTGGCATCTCCTAGCCACCGTGATGATTATGAGAGAGAGACACGCAAAATCTAAATATACAGCAGGCGTCGTCAGGGTCGGGATCGAACCCACAACCTCCTGTGTGCCGGGCGAGGTAGTCAACATCTCCTAGCCACTGTGATGATGAGAGAGAGCCACCGTGGCCACCCCAGTGGGTGGGTCGGTCCGGTCCGCCCGTCCTGCTTCGTGCGCTGATTTATCATTTATAATGGCCGAGCTGTTAAGGGTTTGAACCACAACAATAACTGTTATTGCTATTTACCGTCGCGGCTCATAAAGAAGAAGAGGACCCTTCGTAAAATCTCATGGCGGGCGCTTGGCATCCACGACAAATGGCGGTGGGAAGAGGCGGTGTGGGTTCTGATGGAGAAACGCTGTTTTTCAGGCCCAGGGACTTGTAGATTGCTAACGGAACCGGACTCCTTTTACGGCCTTCGGGCAGAGAGTCCCACAGTGCGCGTGTCACGGGAGTGAAGGCCCAGGGAGTGCCACAGTGCGCGTGTCACAGGAGAGAAGGCCCAGGGAGCCCCACAGTGTGCGTGTCATGGGAGGGGGAAGGCCCAGGGAGATCCACAGTGCGCGTGTCACGGGAGTGAAGGCCCAGGGAATGGTAACGCAGCGCGATCGTCAGAGGGTGGCCGGGGTGGCCCGCAGAGGTCACGTAGAGGTCATGCAGAGGTGACGCAGAGGGGGTCCGCTGGCCGGTCACCACCCTTTGACCAAGCCCGGCGGTTCATCATGAGACCGGACGTTCACACGGCGGCGTTTCAACGTTTTTATCGCGATGCATTTCTATTTTTTATATTTTCCACTCTTGCCAAGCCCGGAGCCCCCCCCCCCACCCTCCCCAATGGCCCAAACAAAGTAAAGCGTCCAGGAAACAAAACGGCAGCCGTTGAAAGCTGCGGATCGATGGCAAAGAGATTGACACCTTTTTTGTTTGATTTGAGGGGGAGGAGGAGGAGGGGGGGGTGGGGGGAGGAGGAGGAGGGGGGGTAGGAGTAGGAGGGGTTAGGGTGGTAGGAGGAGGAGGGGGGGTGGGGGAAGGGGGGGTGGAGGGTAGGAGGAGGAGGAGGGGGGGGGGGCGTGGGAGGAGGAGGGGGGGGTGGGAGGAGGGGGGAGGAGGGGGGTGGGGGGACGGGGAGGGAGGGCTGGGAGGAGGAGGGGGGGGGCGTGGGAGGAGGAGGGGGGGTGGGAAGAGGAGGGGGGAGGAGGGGGGTGGGGGGAGGGGAGGGCTAGGAGGATGGAGGGGGGGTGGGGGGAGGGGGAGTGGAGTCACTGGCGGAGTCAGTGGGGGTGGCACGTGCCCCCCAATGATCCAATTGAAATCCGTAATTTCGATCGGATCATTGGGGTTTATTATTAATAAATCGGCATTTTGCGACCCCCACTGCCGCTGTGTAGCATATTATTAAGTGCCAGGGACTCTATGAGATGATAGGACAATAGTCTGAGTCCATAATTGGCAATAAGTAACGGCAAAGCAGTTATAAGCGACTCACAGAATTGTGCGCAGTTGCGTATACAGGACACGACTTCCCTGAAGGCATCAACACCTTCAGCGAGCGCGATGCCGATCACACGACGCGGTTCGAATTCGACCCTCGATCGATGGCTGCGCCATCGCCGCACACGTGTCGAACAGTTGTTAGTAAGTCCTTACTTACTAACAACTCATCATCACAGTTGTTTCGTTTTGTTTGCATTTTGACTGCTTGTGTTGTGGTTATTGCAAACATGATGCCTTGTATAAAGGTGTCAGTTTTTGTACCAGTTGAAAGGGTAAAAACTTATTACTATACTAACAACTCCTATAACTTTTTCATTGCTGGAGGGGTTGCCCCTCCTACCTGAAAACCCTGGCTCCGCCATTGAGTGGAGTGGGTGGTTGGGCGGGTAAGCGAGTGCTGCCGATGGAGAAACGTGATTTTTAGAAACACATCTGATTTGTTTTACTTTCCTCGTCGCAGGAAGTTGCTCGAGGTTCGAGCGAGCGTTTCGCCACCCTCCTCCCGCTTCTGCGTCCTATTTTAGCCGACGTGACGCCGCCGCCGCCGCGCTCGGTATCGTTCGGCAAGCGCCGTCAACGGTCTTTGGCGAGGCTACGGCCGAGAGCTGCGGGAGACACGGTGGACTCGTCGTGACCCGCATCGGCGTTGCGACCGGGACCCGGACCGAGACTTGCCGAGCGCCGGGCCCAGCCGTCTCTCGGTGATTTCGCGGGAAGCTGGATCTGAGTTTCCAACCGCGAGCCGCGCTCCGGATTTTTGCCCCGCTGCCCCACCAAGCGGCCCGTTGGTTGTCTCTGTGCGTAGCGCGCGCGCACGTTCGTAGCTCGTGTGTGCGTGCGTACGTAGCGCGTGGCGTGTTTGCGTAGCGCTTGCGTTGTGCGTGTGTACGTACTTAGCGCGTATGTGCATAGCGCGTACATACGTACTTAGCGCGTTTGAGCGTAGCGCTACGTACGTACTTAGCGCGTATGTGCATAGCGCTACGTACGTAGTGCGTACGTACGTAGTGCGTACGTACGTAGCGCGTAGTGCGTACGTATATACTTAGCGCGTTTGTGCGTAGCGTGTGCGTACGTACGCAGCGCGTGTGTGTGTACGTATATACGCGCTATGCGTTTGGATAATTGGTTTACCTTTCCCCCACTTTGCACTCGTGTCGTTTCTTGTTGTCGTAGTTGTGTTTGTTGTTGTCGTAACGTTCTATACCGCCCCCGCACCCTCGCTGGACACGCGCTCGTGCGTGTGCGTGGGGGAAAAAGAGCTTCATAGCTCACCGGATTCTTACTCCGGTATAAATACCGATTCTCATTCCGCTTGTTGCAACGGCAACGGGGCCACACGCGTGCTCGCTCGTGCCAGTTCCTTGTGAGCGCGTGGTTTGGGCAAGGCCTGCGAGAGGTCTCTCCCCCCCCCCCCCTCGATTGAGAGGGCGCGGGCGCCGGAGCGTGCTGCTGGCATGCGGTCGCACAACCCAAACGGCCCGGGAAAATTAATATAACTATTTTATTTATTAAACATTACAAAACAAGCAAAACAGAAAGCCTTGACCGTGGTTAGGAGGTCGTGGTGTTGGGGTTTTTTTTTCTAGCGAGAGTTGAACGGCTGCCGCGGTTACGTGGAAGAGGAACGAACGGTGGAGCGGGCGGGGGGGGCGAGGGTGAAAGTGGTCGCGCGTCCGTTCATTTGTTCGTTCATCCGTTCGTTCATTTGTTCATTCGTTTGTTCGTTAATCCGTTCGTTCATCCATTCGTTCATTCGTCCGTTCGTCGCGCCCGGGAGGCGTCGTCGTTGGGAAAGCTGTCGCGGGGCGAGTTCGGAGGCTCAACATGAAAACAATTTAAATAAAAAAATATCAAAAACACAAATGCACCTGGGTTGGAGGTCGGAGGTTTAGCGGCGGCCGTAACTTTGACCGCGGGACCCACGCCGGGGGTGGTGTGGGCGTGAGAGCGCCCCGACCCACCACCACCACGACCACCACCACGACCACCACCACGACCACCACCACGACCACCACCACCACGACCACCACGACCACCACGACCACCACCACGACCACCACGACCACTACCACCACCACCACCACGACCACCACGACCACCACCACCACCACGACCACCACGACGCACCGCTGCACGCACTGACGGACCCCTTCCGACGATTTGCTCGGAAGCCGCCTGGTGGAAGCTGCGCACTTTGAATCGTCGTCTGGATTGACAAAGTAACTTCTGTAGAACTGCCTGCTGTTGTGTGCAGTTTGTTGTCCTTCCCCCTCCGCCCCCTCGCACCTCCGATTACGTATGGTGCGAGAGAAGTTCAACACACACTCATAGCACGGTTAGCTATGTACGTGCGAGAGAAATTCAATATACACACACACAGATAGCACGGGAGGGCTACATACGGTGCAAACTCCGGTCATGCTTGAGGCAACAGCGGCTTGTGTCTAGCCATCGAACAAAGACGGTCACCGCATCGCTTTCAGGTGCTGCTGCTGCTTCTGCGGCCGTCTGGAACGCTTTCTTCCTTCCGATACGAGGAAGCCACTGGGAGCTGTGATGCACTTTGAAATCATCGTCGTCTAGATTGGCAAACTCATTTCTTTCGAACTGCTTGTTGTTGTGTTTAGTTTGTTTTACTTTCCCCTGGCACCTCCGATTAGCACGGTCGGATAAGTACGGTAGGAAAGAAGTTAAACGAACGTACCAATACCAACCCCCTGCCACTAAGTGACGGTGACATCACCACGGCTCCTGTGCCAGGCCAGGTGCACATGCTCACACAGAGGACGTACAGACGCATAGCACGAAGGAGCGCAGACCGGCTGACACGCTCGCTCACACTCTAGAGAACAGGGGGAGAACACGCAGACGGCATACAGCAAGGCGCCCGAGTTGGAGATCGAACCTGTGTGTGTGTGTGGGGAGTGGTGGCGCAGCAGTTAGCGCCCCGCACTACGAAACCCGGCGGCCGTAGATCTGTCCCCGCTTGCGGCCAACACCGGTGCGGATTATCTGAGCCCGTCCTGGGCTTGCCCTAGGTCGACTCGGCCTCAAATGAGTACCTGGCGCGGTGTGTGCGTAACACATCGTCACTTGGGAGACAAAGGCGGCCGGGCGTGGTGCTGGCCACCCACCCCCATTGTGTGCCACAGTGCTGGCCTTCATAGGTGCTGCTGCAACTCGCTAACAGCACTTGCCCCGACAGTCTGTTAGAGGCTACACGGGGGGTCTTTGTCTTTGTCTCCTTCATAGATGCTGCTGCTACTCGCTAACAGCACTTGCCCCGACAGTCTGTTAGAGGCTACACACGGTGGGGGGGACCTTTGCCTTTGCCGTGTACTTGTGGTTCGCAGGTTTTGCCGAGCGCGCCGTCCCCGGCGGCGGTGACGCGATGAGGCCGCCCCGCCCGGCGCTCCTCTTGGTGACACCCCTCCTGCTGCTGCTGCATTGGGCGGCCGCGGTGCGATCCGGTGAGCCCCGCCCCCCCACCCCCCTCGCCCCCCCACCCCCCCTCACCCCCCTGGCTTCGGCCAAACCGTAGCCCTCGCTGACCAACCGACTGACCAACTGACCAACTGACTGCCCGACCGACCGACTGTGACTGACTAACTGACTGACCGACTGACTGACCGACTGACTGACCGACTGACTGACTGATCGACCAACTGACTGTGGCTGACTGACCGACTGACTGACCGACTGACTGACTGATCGACCAACTGACTGACGAACTGACTGACTGACTGACCGACCAACTGACTGTGGCTGACTGACTGACTGACCGACTGACTGACCGACTGACTGACTGATCGACCAACTGACTGTAGCTGACTGACCGACTGACTGACCGACTGACTGACCGACTGACTGACTGATCGACCAACTGACTGACGAACTTACTGACTGACTGACTGACCACCTGACCAACTGACTGACCGACTGACCGACTTGACAGGAGAGTGGTGTGTTTCCCCCCTGGCCGGCAGGAGGGCGCCCGGAGGCCTCGTTGGAGCCGCAGGACGCCGTGGCGACCTTGGGGCTGCCGTTCACCTGGCGCTGCCGCCTGCCGCCTGGACAGCTGGGCGGCTTGGAGGTGCGGCGCAGCTCGGGATGAGAGACGCACACACGCACGCACACACGCGTACACAGGTGCACACACGTGCATATACACGCGTACACACACGCGCACACACGTGCACATACGCGTACGCACGCGCACACACGCGCACACACGTGTACACACACGCATACACACACGCGTACATACACGCACACACACACGCGCACACACGCGTACGCACGCGCACACACGCACGACACACGCCCAACACACACACGCGTCCATGTCAGCGCGTGGATGAAGCCACTTCTAGTCAAGGCGCGAGTTTATCAGTCTGTGGGCGATTTTAAAGTGCAAGCGCACGGCTCCTGGTGGCTTTCAAATGACAGTGACGCCGATGGTAACAATGGCGATGCCGACGGTAATGGTGACGCCGACGGTAATGGTGACGCCGACGGTAACGACGATGATGCCGACGGTGATGCCGACGGTGATGGTGACGCCGACGGTGACGCCGCTGGTGACGCCGCCGGTGACATTGCAGAGGGGCTGCACGGTGCACGATGTGGTCTGGAGGTTGGCCGGCGAGCGCCTGGGGCCGCCGAACGCGCGGCCCAGCGTCGAGGCGGCGGCCGTGGCGGCGCTGAGGGTGTCGCGCTACGGCCCCGCGGGGCTCTCCAAGCTCGTCTGCCTCCTGGACTGCCCCTCGGGCGAGACGCTGCTCGCCGCGGCCGTCGTGTGCGGAGCAAGTGAGTCCCGCGCAAATAGGCGGCAGGCGGCGGCTTCGTCGTAGCGGTGCGGCGATTATCCGGCGGCTTTCAACGTTGCATCGGCGCCACTCCCACCCCACCCCCTCCCTCCGCCCCACGTGTTCAACTATGATACAACTATGTGTACGCGCAGGCGGTCCGTCCTCCCGTATCGCGTTTGCTTTCGCCACGCCGGTTGGACGTGTAACGCGACGCGTGTGCGACGCGTGTGCGACGCGTGTGCGGCGCGTGCGAGTTGCACGTTGACGCGATGATCAGAGCGAACGGGGAACTGCTGCGTCGTGCGAGGGGGAACGGGCGCTTTGTCCCGCGAGGCGCTGGGATGCTGCTGGATGCCTCCTAGATGGTAGCCCTACACGCGCCTCATTATACTAAGCTAATTATTATTTGACCAGGCAAGGCCCTCGCTTGAGCTGTAGAGCTCTTTGTTGAGGAGCGACCCTGGCCACTGCAGACGATAGCTCGACGAAGTGCTGGCTTGGCGTCGTCGTCATCGCCACGTGGACATGCACAGCAGCAGCCAAAGACTCCGCGACCCGCGACATCGATTCTGAATGTGGAGGGAAAAGCTGGAGGGACCCGGAGAAAAATCCACGCGGCCACGGGGAGAGAGGATAGAGAGAGACGCAGACTCTAAATATACAGCAGCAGGCGTCGTCAAGGTCGGGATCGAACCCACGACCTCCAGTATACCAGGCGAGGTAGTCAACATCTCCTAGCCACCGTGATAATGATGATGAGAGAGAGACACGCAAACTCCAAATATACAGCAGCAGGCGTCGTCAAGGTCAGGATCGAACCCACGAGCTCCTGTACACCAGGCGAGGTAGTTAACATCTCCCAGCCACCGTGGTGCCGCATCTGCTCGCAGCGACGGCGTGTCGTTGGATAGCCGCGGGTTTAGCCGCATGCGTCAATACAATTATCAACAGCTGTTTTGTTGCCAGAAAAAGGGGTAAAACCTATTAGCATATTTTGGTTCTGGCAAAGGGGAGGTCCCATGATGATGAAATGAAATCGTTTACCGGAACCATGGCGCAGCGCCCTTGCTAACCGATGCACCGCCGCTCCTCCCCACGAGTTATATATTTTTTCCTTATTTATTTGTTTAAAAGGAGAGACACTCATAGGGAGAAACGGGAAGCTGTCGAGAGCTGCCTCAAGACTTGGGAGTCGTGGGGGTGGTGAAGGGCCCGGCTGGGGGGGACGAGGAGGAGGAGGAGGGAATTCTAACACTGGGAGGGCGCCAGAGGCACAAGTGCCGGACGTCATGTGGACAAAAGCTTCGTAGCTCATCGGATTTCTCTCGTAGTCTGGAGAGATTCTGCGAGTGGCGCGGAGCTTGAACTGCACCACCGTACGCAGCCAACGGAGCTAATCAGAGATGCTGGGGAAAGACAATAAACTGTGGGTCTCTGTGTGAGTCTATGGGTCTCTGTGTGAGTCTGTGGGTCTCTGCGTGAGTCTGTGGGTCTCTGTGCGAGTCTATGGGTCTCTGTGCGAGTCTATGGGTCTCTGTGCGAGTCTATGGGTCTCTGTGCGAGTCTATGGGTCTCTGTGCGAGTCTATGGGTCTCTGTGCGAGTCTATGGGTCTCTGTGTGAGTCTATGGGTCTGTGTGAGTCTATGGGTCTCTGTGTGAGTCTATGGGTCTCTGTGTGAGTCTGTGGGCCTCTGTGTGAGTCTATGGGTCTGTGTGAGTCTATGGGTCTGTGTGAGTCTATGGGTCTCTGTGTGAGTCTATGGGTCTCTGTGTGAGTCTGTGGGCCTCTTTGTGAGTCTATGTGGTCTCTGTGTGAGTCTATGGGTCTCTGCGTGAGTCTATGGGGTCTCTGTGTGAGTCTATGGGGTCTCTGTGTGAGTCTATGGGTCTCTGTGTGAGTCTATGGGGTCTCTGTGTGAGTCTATGGGTCTCTGTGTGAGTCTATGGGTCTCTGTGTGAGTCTATGGGTCTCTGTGTGAGTCTATGGGTCTCTGTGTGTGTCTATGGGTCTCTGTGTGAGTCTCTGGGTCTCTGTGTGAGTCTATGGGTCTCTGTGTGAGTCTATGAGTCTCTGTGTGAGTCTATAGGTCTCTGTGTGAGTCTGTGGACCTCTGTGTGAGTCTATGGGTCTCTGTGTAAGTCTATGGGTCTCTGTGTGAGTCTATGGGCCTCTGTGTGAGTCTATGGGTCTCTGTGTGAGTCTATGGGTCTCTGTGTGAGTTTATGGGTCTCTGTGTGAGTCTATGGGTCTCTGTGTGAGTCTACAGGTCTCTGTGTGAGTCTGCGGGTCTCTGTGTGAGTCTATGGGCAATGTGGACATGAACAGCGTGAATATCTGCGACGAAATGAAGACGTCGGTCGAGAGAGAGAGGGAGGGAGGGAGGGAGGGAGCGGGGCGCACGGGCGGGCTGAAGGGAGAGCTCTCTTGGTCGTCGTCGCCAGCATTGTTGTCGTCGTCGTCATCATAGCCGTGCTGCCGCCATCGTTGTCGTGATCATTGTCGTCATGGTTGTCGTCGTCATCGTCATTGTCGTCGTCGTCGTCATCGTCGTCATCATCATCGTCGTTGTCGTTATCGTAGCCGTGCTGCCACCATCGTTGTCGTCATCGTCATCATTGTCGTCGTCATCGTCATCATTGTCGTCATCATTGTCGTCATCATTGTCGTCGTCATCGTCATCATTGTCGTCGTCGTCATCGTCATCATCGTCATCGTTGTCATCGTAGCCGTGCTGCCGCCATCGTTGTCGTCATTGTCGTCATTGTCGTCGTCATCATTCATCATCGTCGTTATTGTTGTCGTCATCGTCGTTATCATCGTCGTGGTCGTCATCGTAATCTTGGTCGTCGTCGCCGCCACCGCCGCCATGTAACTTGCCGGGGGGGGCGTAATCGCGGCACTGGTGACTCGCCGTCCCGGCTTCCTCTGCGGTGCAGTGACTCACCGCCGTTTTTCTTTTCCTTTCCAGCAGCCCTCAAACTAACAAACAACAAGAAAAGCAGAGGAGGCTCCGGGGGGTGGGGGCCGGGGGAAGCGCTGTTTTACCAGACGTGGATTTTGTTCTTCTGTTTCCTCGTTCTATTTGTTGTTGTTGTTGTTGGTTTTCCCGACACGGGGTGCCACAGGTGTAGTCTGCGTCTCTCTCTCTAACCGTGGTGAGATGTTAACCACCTCGCCTGGTGTACAGGAGGTCATGGGTTCGATCCCGACCCCTCGACGACACCTGCTGCTGTATATTTGGAGTTTGCGTGTCTCTCTCATCATCATCACGGTGGCTAGGAGATGTTAACTACCTCGCCTGGTATACAGGAGTTGGTGGGTTCGATCCCGACCCCTGACGACGCCTGCTGCTGTATATTTGGAGTTTGATCGTGTGGATTTTTCTCCGGGTCCTCCGGATTTTCCCTCCTCCACCTTGAGAATTAATGTCATGCATTTATATTATTTGGCTGCTGCGTAAATTTTTTAAAATTTGATAAGCCACTTAGTTGAGCGAGTGCCCGGAGAAAAAAACACGCGACCACCGGGAGAGAGAGAGCGCGACACGCAAACTCCAAATATACAGCAGCAGGCATCAGGGTCGGGGTCGAACCGACGACTTCCTGCATACCAGGCGAGGTAGTTAACATCTCCTAGCCACTGTGGGAGCGGTAGGAGAGTGTGTGGAGGGGAGTGGAGTGAGATGAGAGGGGAGAGGCAGGAGAGAGCGTGGAGGGGAGTGGAGTGAGATGGGAGGGGAGAGGCAGGAGAGTGCGTGGAGGGGAGTGGAGTGAGATGAGAGGGGAGAGGCAGGAGAGTGCGTGGAGGGGAGTGGAGTGAGATGGGAGGGGAGAGGCAGGAGAGAGCGTGGAGGGGAGTGGAGTGAGATGAGAGGGGAGAGGCAGGAGAGTGCGTGGAGGGGAGTGGAGTGAGATGAGAGGGGAGAGGCAGGAGAGAGCGTGGAGGGGAGTGGAGTGAGATGAGAGGGGAGAGGCAGGAGAGTGCGTGGAGGGGAGTGGAGTGAGGCGAGAGGGGAGAGGCAGGAGAGAGCGTGGAGGGGAGTGGAGTGAGATGAGAGGAGAGAAGTAGGAGAGTGCATGGAGGGGAATGGAGTGAGATGAGATGAGAGAGGCAGGAGAGTTCGTGGAGGGGAGAGGAGTGAGATGGGAGGGGAGAGGCAGGAGAGTGCGTGGAGGGGAGTGGAGTGAGATGAGAGGGGAGAGGCAGGAGAGTGCGTGGAGGGGAGCAGAGTGAGATGAGAGGGGAGAGGCAGGAGAGTGCGTGGAGTGGAGTAGAGTGAGATGAGAGGGGAGAGGCAGGAGAGAGCGTGGAGGGGAGTGGAGTGAGATGAGAGGGGAGAAGTAGGAGAGTGCGTGGAGGGGAATGGAGTGAGATGAGATGAGAGAGGCAGGAGAGTTCATGGAGGGGAGAGGAGTGAGATGGGAGGGGAGAGGCAGGAGAGTGCGTGGAGGGGAGCAGAGTGAGATGAGAGGGGAGAGGCAGGAGAGTGCATAGAGGGGAGTGGAGTGAGATGAGAGGGGAGAGGCAGGGGAGAGCGTGGAGGGGAGTGGAGTGAGATGAGAGAGGCAGCAGAGTGCGTGGAGTGGAGTAGAGTGAGATGAGAGGGGAGAGGCAGGAGAGAGCGTGGAGGGGAGTGGAGTGATCCATACGTCATCCCGCGTACCCACAATCCCTTGCTGCTGCTGCCCCCCCGTTCCTCAGGTCCTCCAGAGGTGCCCACGGGCGTGATGTACGTGATGGGGCCTGACCTGGATGGCGACCTGATGTGCACCTGGGACTCCCTGCCGAAGAGCTGCCTCCCCACCAACTACAGCATCATCGTCAGGTTTACACCTCCCCACCAACTGCACCACCATCGTCAGGTTTCCACCTCCCCACCGACTGCACCACCATCGTCACCGGGCAGCACCTGCGCGTCAGCCGCGCAACTACTCGCCCAGTGAGATGTGGACCCACCTAGCAAGGGCTGGCGGCAGCACGGATGTGATGTTGACGACTACGATGGCGACGACGACGATGATGATGATGACGACCACTATGATGATGATGACGACGATGACGACGATAATGATGACGACGATAATGATGATGACGACGATCATGACGACGACGACAATGATGACGACGACAATGGTGACGACGATAATAATGACGACGACGATGATGACGATGACGATCACGACCACGACGACCCGTCTGCGATCCCATCGTTCCCATCCCAACTTGCCTCCCTCCCTCTCCTCCCTCTCCTCTCTCCCTCCCTCCCAACCTCCCTCCCAACCTCCCTCTCCTCCCTCCCTCTCAACCTCCTTCCCCTCCCTCCCTCTCCTCTCTCCCTTTCCTCCCTCCCCTTCCACCCCTCCCCTGCCCTCCCTCTCTCCCTCCCTCCCTCCCTCCCAACCTCCCTCCCCTCTCGGGCCACCGCAGCGTGCCGGACACCACCACGACGAGTGTGCACGCGTGCGGGGCGGGTGTCGCGCGCTGCGTCGTGCCGCGCGAACACTTCAACATCTTCATGACCCAGACGTTCCGGCTGCTCGCCCAGAGCAGTCTGGGCAGCGCGGATCACCTCGCTGAGTTCGACCCCACCAAGTTCCGTGAGTCGCGCCCACCGGCTCCCCCACCAGCACCAGCAATACCACCACCACTACCACCACCACCAGTACCACCACCACTACCACCACTACTACCACCACCACCGCCAGTACCACCACCACTACCACCACCACTACCACCACCGCCGCCGCCACCACCACCACTACCACCACCAGTACCACCACTACCACCACCATCGCCACCACCACTACCACCACCACCACTACTACCAGAACCACCACCACCACCACTACCACCTACCAGCACCACCAGAACCATCACCTATACCACCAGCACCACTATCACCACTAACACCACCGTCGCCACCATGACCACCACCGTTGTGATTACGATCGTTGTCGCCGTGACTACGATCGTCGTTGCCGTTGCGATCGTTGCCCAGTGAAAACCGACCCCCCGACGTTGGACATGGACGACTTCCAGCTGAGCGACTACCCCCTGGTGCGCTGGAGCGGCCCGCGGGACATCGACCCGCTGGTGGTGAAGCTGCGCTACCACCTGCGCTACCGCCCCTCCGCACTGCCCCAGCAGCCGTGGGTACGCAGCCGTGCAGGCACCCGCACACCACAACCCCAACACACCAACACCACCACCAACACCACCACCACCACACCACCAACACCACCACAACCACACCACCAACACACCAACACCACCATCACCACCACACCAACACCACACCACCAACACCACCCACCACACCGCCCACCACCCAACTCACCCAACTCACCCACCACACCGCCCACCACCCAACCCCACCCAACTCACCCACCACACCACCCACCACACCGCCCGTATGTACGTACGTGCGTGGTTACGTGTACGTACGTGCGTGGGTGCGCTTACATATCTACGTGCGTGTTTGTGTGTGCGCGTGAACGTATGTGTGTGTGTGCGTGTGGGTTCTTGTGTGTGTGTGCGTGTGGGTGCGTGTGTGTGCGTGTGGGTGTGTGTGTGTGTGCGTGTGTGCGTGTGGGTAGCGTGTGGGTTCTTGTGTGTGTGTGTGTGTGCGTGCGTGCGTGCGGGTGGGTGCAGACGGACGTCCCACAGAACCTGAGCGCCACCTCGTTTGCGCTGGACCAGCTGCTCCCGCACACCACCTACAGCGTGCAGCTGCGCTGCATCGGCGGCCGGGGGCAGCTCTGGTGGAGCGACTGGGCCGAGGCGAATGCCACCACCGCGGAGTTGGGTGAGCGACGGGAGAGAGGGAGAGAGGGGAGCGGAGGGAGGGAGGGGAGGGAGGGGAGGGAGGGGATTGAGGGAGGGGAAACTTAAATAGTAACTTTATCGAATTTTTTGCGACGTGGTTTTTAAAGACGCTCCCTCGCTCTCTCCATTTAACGCGTTAACAAGCGAGCGAACGAGCGAGTGAGTGACCTAGCAGATGAGCGAGCTAATGAACGAGCGAGCGAGTGACCTAACAGATGAGCGAGCTAACGGACGAGCGAGTGAGTGACCTAACAGATGAGCGAGCTAACAGACGAGCGAGTGAGTGACCTAACAGATGAGCGAGCTAACGAACGTGCGAGTGAGTGACCTAACAGATGAGCGAGCTAACGAACGAGCGAGTGAGTGACCTAACAGATGAGCGAGCTAACGAACGAACGAGCGAGTGACCTAACAGATGAGCGAGCTAACAGACGAGCGAGTGAGTGACCTAACAGATGAGCGAGCTAACAGACGAGCGAGTGAGTGACCTAACAGATGAGCGAGCTAACAGACGAGCGAGTGAGTGACCTAACAGATGAGCGAGCTAACGAACGTGCGAGTGAGTGACCTAACAGATGAGCGAGCTAACGAACGAGCGAGTGAGTGACCTAACAGATGAGCGAGCTAACGAACGAGCGAGTGAGTGACCTAACAGATGAGCGAGCTAACGGACGAGCGAGCGAGTGACCTAACAGATGAGCGAGCTAACGAACGAGCGAGCGAGTGACCTAACAGATGAGCGAGCTAACGAATGAGCGAGTGCGTGACCTAACAGATGAGCGAGCTAACAGACGAGCGAGTGAGTGACCTAACAGATGAGCGAGCTAACGGACGAGCGAGTGAGTGACCTAACAGATGAGCGAGCTAACGAACGAGCGAGCGAGTGACCTAACAGATGAGCGAGCTAACGAACGAGCGAGTGAGTGACCTAACAGATGAGCGAGCTAACGAACGAACGAGCGAGTGACCTAACAGATGAGCGAGCTAACAGACGAGCGAGTGAGTGACCTAACAGATGAGCGAGCTAACGGACGAGCGAGTGAGTGACCTAACAGATGAGCGAGCTAACGAACGAGCGAGCGAGTGACCTAACAGATGAGCGAGCTAACGAACGTGCGAGCGAGTGACCTAACAGATGAGCGAGCTAACGAACGAGCGAGCGAGTGACCTAACAGATGAGCGAGCTAACGAACGAACGAGCAAGTGACCTAACAGATGAGCGAGCTAACAGACGAGCGAGCGAGTGACCTAACAGATGAGCAAGCTAACGAACGTGCGAGTGAGTGACCTAACAGATGAGCGAGCTAACGAACGAGCGAGTGAGTGACCTAACAGATGAGCGAGCTAACGAACGAGCGAGTGAGTGACCTAACAGATGAGCGAGCTAACGAACGAGCGAGCGAGTGACCTAACAGATGAGCGAGCTAACGAACGAGCGAGTGAGTGACCTAACAGATGAGCGAGCTAACGAACGAACGAGCGAGTGACCTAACAGATGAGCGAGCTAACAGACGAGCGAGCGAGTGACCTAACAGATGAGCGAGCTAACGAACGAGCGAGTGAGTGACCTAACAGATGAGCGAGCTAACGAACGAACGAGCGAGTGACCTAACAGATGAGCGAGCTAACAGACGAGCGAGCGAGTGACCTAACAGATGAGCGAGCTAACGAACGAGCGAGTGAGTGACCTAACAGATGAGCGAGCTAACGAACGAACGAGCGAGTGACCTAACAGATGAGCGAGCTAACAGACGAGCGAGTGAGTGACCTAACAGATGAGCGAGCTAACAGACGAGCGAGCGAGTGACCTAACAGATGAGCGAGCTAACGAACGTGCGAGTGAGTGACCTAACAGATGAGCGAGCTAACGAACGAGCGAGCGAGTGACCTAACAGATGAGCGAGCTAACGAACGAGCGAGTGCGTGACCTAACAGATGAGCGAGCTAACAGACGAGCGAGTGAGTGACCTAACAGATGAGCGAGCTAACGGACGAGCGAGTGAGTGACCTAACAGATGAGCGAGCTAACGAACGAGCGAGCGAGTGACCTAACAGATGAGCGAGCTAACGAACGAGCGAGCGAGTGACCTAACAGATGAGCGAGCTAACGAACGTGCGAGTGAGTGACCTAACAGATGAGCGAGCTAACGAACGAGCGAGCGAGTGACCTAACAGATGAGCGAGCTAACAGACGAGCGAGCGAGTGACCTAACAGATGAGCGAGCTAACGAACGTGCGAGTGAGTGACCTAACAGATGAGCGAGCTAACGAACGAGCGAGCGAGTGACCTAACAAATGAGCGAGCTAACGGACGAGCGACTCTTAAGCAAAGCGCGTGCGTCCCCGAGCGCGGGGAATCGATTGCCGGACCCGCTGGCGACACCGTCAACGCGCCGAGCGGTGAACTATGACCCTCCGTGTTGCCGCAGCTCCCTCCGCAGGCCCCGAGGTGTGGAGAGTCGTGACCCCGGCGGATTCTGAGGGTCAACGCAAGGTCTTCGTCTATTGGAAGGTGACCCGCCCCCTGCACCCCCCCCCCCCCCCCCGTCCACCGACCCTGCAGCTCGGCAAGACGAGCGTGTGATAATAGCAGGACAATAAACACACGACAACATCAACAACAATCCCAGACCACACCCAAACAACAACAGACCCAGACCCCACACCAAGACAAAAACAACAGTCTCAGACCACACATCAAAACAACAACAACAACAACAACAGTTCCAGACTACACACCAAGACAACAACAACAGTCCCAGACCACACACCAAGACAACAACAACAACAACAGTCCCAGACCACACACCAAGACAACAACAACAACAGTCCCAGACCACACAAGACAACAACAACACAGACAAAACAACAGTCCTTCAGACCACCACACCAAGACACAACAACAACAACAGTCTCAGACCACACACCAAGACAACAACAACAACAGTCCCAGACCACACACCAAACAACAACAACAAACAACAACAGTCTCAGACCACACAACCAAGACAACAACAACAACACAGTCTCAGACCACACACCAAGACAACAACACAACAACAACAGTCTCAGACCACACACCAAGACAACAACAACAACAACAACAGTCCCAGACTACACACCAAGACAACAACAACAACAGTCCCAGACCACACACCAAGACAACACAACAACAACAACAACATTCTCAGACCACACACCAAGACAACACAACAACAACAGTCTCGAGACCACCACCAAGACAACAACAACAACAACAACAACAGTCTCAGACCACACACCAGACAACAACAACAACAGGTCCCAGACCACACACCAGACAACAACAACAACACAACAGTCTCAGACCACACACCAAGACAACACAACAACAACAGTCTCAGACACACACCAAGACAACAACAACAACAACAGTCCCAGACCACACACCAGACAACAACAACAAACAGTCCCAGACACACACCAGGCCAACAACAACAGTCTCAGACCACACACCAAGACAACACACAACAGTCCCAGACCCACAACACCCAGCAACAACAACAACAACCCCAGTCCCAGACCACACACCCAAGACACAACAACAACAACAGTTCCCAGACCACACACCACGTACATCAGACCACAACACCAGTCTAAGACCACACACCAAGACAAACAACACCAACAGTCTCAGGACCACACACCAAGACAACAACAACCACAACAAGTCCTCAGACCACACACCATAGACAACAACAACAACAACAGTCCTCAGAACCATCACACCAAGCAACAACAGCAACAACTAGTCTCCCAGACCACACACCCAGACAACAACACAACAAGGTCCCCGACCACACACCACAGACAACATACAACAACAGCCCCAGGACCACACACCAAGACAACAACACCAACAACAGTCCCAGACCACACACCCAACAACAACACCAACAACAGTCCCCAGACCACACACCAAGACAACAACACAACAACAACAGTCCCTAGGACCACACACCAAGACAACAACAACAACAACAGTCCCAGGACTCACCCACCCAAGACCACAACAACAACAACAGTGCTCAAGACCCACACACCAAGACAACAACACAACAACAGTCCCAGACCACACACCAAGCAACACAACAACAACACGTCCAGACACACAACCAAGTACAACAACAAACGTACCAGACCAACACCAAGACCACAACAACAGTCCAGACCACACACCAAGACAACAACAACAACAGTCCCAGACCACACCAAGACAACACACAACAACAACAGTCCCAGACCACACCAAGACAACAACAACAACAGTCCCACCACACACCAAGACAACAACAACACAGTCCCAGACCACACCAAGACAACAACAACAACAACAGTCCCAGACCACACACAAGACAACAACAACAACAGTCCCAGACCACACCAAGACAACAACAACAACACAGTCCCAGACCACACCCAAGACAACAACAACAACAACAGTCCCAGACCACACACCAAGACAACAACAACAACAGTCCCAGACCACACACCAAGACAACAACAACAACAGTCCCAGACCACACCCAAGACAACAACAACAACAACAGTCCCAGACCACACACACCAACAACAACACACAGTCCCAGACCACACACCAAGACAACAACAACAACAGTCCCAGACCACACCAAGACAACAACAACAACAGTCCCAGACCACACACCAAACAACAACACAGTCCAGACCACACACCAAGACCACAACAACAGTCCCAGACCACACACCAAGACAACAACAACAACAACAACAGTCCCAGACCACAAACCAAGACAACAACAACAACAACAACAGTCCCAGACCACACACCAAAACAACAACAACAGTCCCAGACCACACACCAAAACAACAACAACAGTCCCAGACCACACACCAAGACAACAACAACAGTCCCAGACCACACACCAAGACAACAACAACAGTCCCAGACCACACACCAAGACAACAACAACAACAACAGCCCCAGACCACACACCAAGACAACAACAACAACAACAGTCCCAGACCACACACCAAAACAACAACAACAGTCCCAGACCACACACCAAGACAACAACAACAGTCCCAGACCACACACCAAGACAACAACAACAACAACAACAGTCCCAGACCACACACAAGACAACAACAACAACAACAGTCACTGACCTCCGTCTCTTGCCGACAGACGCTGGAGCCGGACGTCGCCCGCGGCAACGTCCTCCGCTACGCGGTCACCGCCGAGAGCGTCGACGGCCCCTTCCGCAACGCCACCGTCGTCGTGGCGACGGACCGATGCGGCGACGCCGCGGCCACTCCGGCGGCGGCGGGGGGGGGCTGCAGCGCCGTGCTGACGCTGGACGCCGGCGCCCACCGGCTCACGGTGACGGCGCAGAACTCGGCGGGGGAGAGCCCGGCGTCGCGCGTCGGCGTCGCCGCCGTAGGGTCGCACGGTGAGGAGTCGGCGGTCGCCTCCCTCCCTCCCCAATCCCTCCCCTGCCTCCCTCCCCTTCTCCCCAATCCCTCCCCTGCCTCCCTCCCCTTCTCCCCAATCCCTCCCCTGCCTCCCTCCCTCCCTCCCTCCCCAATCCCTCCCCTCCCTCCCTCCCTCCCTCCCTCCCCTCCCCAATCCCTCCCCTGCCTCCCTCCCCTCCCCAATCCCTCCCCTCCCTCCCTCCCTCCCCACCTCCCCAATCCCTCCCCTCCCCACCTCCCTCACTCCCCAATCCCTCCCTCCCCCCCATCCCTCCCCTTCCCCCCCATCCCTCCCCCCCCATCCCTCCCCTCCCTCCCTCCTTCTCTCCCTCCCGTCCCATCCCACCCCTCCCCCCCATCCCTTCCTCCCCTCCCCACCTCCCTCCCCCCCTCCCTCACTCCCCCCATCCCTCTCCCTATCACTCCACTCATCCCTCCCTACCTCCCTCCCTTCCCCACCTCCCTCCGTCCCCCACCTCCTCCCCTCCCCACCATCCCTCTGTCCCCTCCCTCCCCGCCTCCCCTCCCTCCCTCTCACCCCCCTGCGCTCCTGTCGCCGCCGTCTCTGCCACGGTATCCGCAGGACCGCCGGCTCCGAGCGCGGTGTACGCCGCAGAGGCCGGCGACAGCACCGGCGTGCTCGTCAGCTGGGCGTCACCGGGCCACGGCGCCGCCTCTCACCGCGCCGGCGCCGCCGCGACGGCCCACCACGTGGTCACGTGGTGTCCTGTCGCGGCCGCCCCAGAGGGGTCGTGTCGATACAACTTCCTGTGGCTGGCCGCCGGCAAGACGAGCGTCGAGCTTCGGGGTGAGGAGCCAACGTGGCGGTGGTGACGGCGGTGGTGGTGGTGGCAGTGGTGGTGGCTGTGGTGGTGACTGTGGTGGTGGTGACTGTGGTGGTGGTGATGTTGGTGGAGGTGCGGTGGCTCTTGCGGAAAGGGTTGTTGTTCGAGGGTGGTCAGCACCCCGATACAGCCGCCTTTGCCTCCCCAGTGGCGATGTTTACGACACATCGCCACTGGGGAGACAGTGGCGATGTGTCCGGCGCAGTCAACCCCCTTTCCATCATCTTCCTTCGCCGGCAACAGCTGCACCACACCGGCAAAGCCCCGGTAAAAAATAAACAAAGACGTTGTCGCCCACCCCGCCCCCGCCTCTCGCCCCCACCCCCCCGCCACCCCCCCCAGACGTGGTACGAGCCGGCGAGCGTTTGGACGTGTCGGTGTTTGCGGTGCACGGTGACGGAGCGGACGTCAGCCGGCCCGTCACGGTGCAGGCCTACAGCAAGCAGCTGGGTATGGCACCGCACACTGCCAGGGGAGCCACGGTGGCTAGGAGATGTTAACTACCTCGCCTGGTATACAGGAGGTCGTGGGTTCGATCCCGACACTGACGACGCCTGCTGCTGTATTTGAAGTTTGCGTGTCTCTCTCTCTCATCATCATCATCACGGTGGCTAGGAGATGTTAACTACCTCGCCTGGTATGCAGAAGATCGTGGGTTTCTGTGTGGGTCCTCTTGATTTTCCTCCACTGACGTAACCCATAGACGAACATTGTACTTAGGGTAACATTGCCTAGCGACTAATATAACCCAGGGACCTACATTGCCCATAGACACAGTACTAGTCTGTGTTCTGCGTGTCTTTGTGGGTCTGATGTCCTGCGTGTCTCTGCGTGTCTCTGAGTGTCTTTGTGCGTCTCTGTGTGTGTGATGATCTGTGCGTCTCTGTGTGTCTCTGTGTGTGTGATGCTCTGTGCGTCTCTGCGTGTCTCTGTGTGTGATGTTCTGTGTGTCTCTGTGTGTGATGTTCTGTGTGTCTCTGTGTGTCTCTGCGTGTCTCTGCGTGTCTCTGTGTGTGTGATCTGTGTGTCTCTGTGTGTCTCTGTGTGTGTGGTGTTCTGTGTGTCTTTGCGTGTCTCTGTATGTCTCTGTGTGTCTCTGTGCGTCTCTGTGTGATCTGTGTGTGTGATCTGTGTGTCTCTGTGTGTCTTTGTGTGTGTGGTGTTCTGTGTGTTTCTGTGTGTCTCTGTGTGTGTGGTGTTCTGTGTGTCTCTGCGTGTCTCTGCGTGTCTCTGTGTGTGTGATGTTCTGTGTGTCTCTGTGTGTCTCTGTGTGTGTGTGATCTGCGTGTCTCTGTGTGTGTGATCTGTGTGTCTCTGTGTGTGTGGTGTTCTGTGTGTCTCTGCGTGTCTCTGTGCGTCTCTGTGTGTCTCTGTGTGTCTCTGCGTGTCTCTGTGCGTCTCTGTGATGTTCTGTGTGTCTCTGTGTGTCTCTGTGTGTGTGTGATCTGCGTGTCTCTGCGTGTCTCTGTGTGTGTGATGTTCTGTGTGTTTCTGTGTGTCTCTCTGTGTGTGTGATGTTCTGCGTGTCTTTGTGTGTCTGTGTGTCTCTGTGTGTGTGATCTGCGTGTCTCTGCGTGTGTGATGATCTGTGTGTCTCTGTGTGTCTCTCTGTGTGTGTGATGTTCTGTGTGTCTCTGCGTGTCTCCGTGTCTCTGCGCCCCGCGTCGCTCAGTGCCGTCGCGTGGCCCCGGCGTCACGACGCAGTCCGTGACGGAGTCCGGTGCCACCGTCGAGTGGGCCGAGTTGACGGTCAACGAGAGCCGCGGATTCATCACCGGCTACACCGTCTACTACCGCGCCACCGACCCGCGCGGAGCCATCCACAGTGAGGGGGCACCGGCGGTGCGGCCGCACCGGCACCAACCACAACCCACGCCAGGCTCACCAGCGCCGTTAATTAACATTGGTCCCAGCCTCACTCGTTAACATTGGTGATGAGTCTCACTCGTTAACATTGGTGACGAGTCTCACTCGTTAACATTGGTGACGAGTCTCATTGATTAACACCAATACCAAACCAGTCTCATTCATTAACATTGGTGATGAGTTTCATTGATTAGCTTTGGTGATTAGTCTCATTGATTAACATTGGTGATTAGTCTCATTGATTAACATTGGTGACGAGTCTCACTCGTTAACATTGGTGATGAGTCTCATTGATTAACACGAATACCAAACCAGTCTCATTCATTAGCATTGGTGATGAGTCTCATTGATCAACATTGGCATCTCAACCGCCCCTCCCCCAACACCTCTCCTCTCACCCCCCACCTACCCACCCCCCCTACCCCCCACCCACCCAGATGTGACGCTCGGTGCGAGCGAGCCCCGCCGGCTGGCGCTGCGCGACCTGCAGGCGGGAGCGCGCTACGTGGCGTGGGTGCGCGCCGCCACCAGCGGGGGCGAGGGCCCCGCGGGCACGGAGCACACCTTCGCCGTGCCCTCGTCCAGTGAGTCGCAGAGAGAGACACGCACAGAGACACGCAGAAACACGCAGAGAGAGACACGCAGAGAGAGACACGCACAGAGACACCTTCGCCGTGCCCTCGTCCAGTGAGTCGCAGAGAGAGACACGCACAGAGACACGCAGAGACACGCAGAGACACGCAGAGAGAGACACGCAGAGACACGCAGAGAGAGACACGCAGAGACACGCAGAGAGAGACATGCAGAGACACGCAGAGAGAGACACGCACAGAGACACCTTCGCCGTGCCCTCGTCCAGTGAGTCGCAGAGAGAGACACGCACAGAGACACGCAGAGACACGCAGAGACACGCAGAGAGAGACACGCAGAGACACGCAGAGACACGCACAGAGACACGCAGAGAGAGACACGCAGAGAGAGACGCAGAGACACGCAGAGAGAGACACGCAGAGAGAGACACTCACACACAGACACCTTCGCCGTGCCCTCGTCCAGTGAGTCGCAGACACACACGCAGAGACACGCAGAGACACGCAGAGACACGCAGAGAGACACGCAGAGACACGCAGAGACACGCACAGAGACACGCAGAGAGAGACATGCAGAGAGACGCAGAGACACGCAGAGAGAGACAAACAGAGACACTCACACACAGACACCTTCGCCGTGCCCTCGTCCAGTGAGTCGCAGAGACACACGCAGAGAGACACGCAGAGACACGCACACAGAGACACCTTCGCCGTGCCCTCGTCCAGTGAGTCGCAGAGAGAGACACGCAGAGAGACACGCAGAGAGAGACACGCAGAGACTCGCACACACAGAGACACCTTCGCCGTGCCCTCGTCCAGTGAGTCGCAGAGAGAGACACGCAGACAGAGACACGCAGAGAGAGACACGCAGAGAGACGCAGAGACACGCAGAGAGAGACACGCAGAGACTCGCACACACAGAGACACCTTCGCCGTGCCCTCGTCCAGTGAGTCGCAGAGAGAGACACGCAGAGAGACACGCAGAGAGAGACACGCAGAGACTCGCACACACAGAGACACCTTCGCCGTGCCCTCGTCCAGTGAGTCGCAGAGAGAGACACGCAGAGACACACGCAGAGAGAGACACGCAGAGAGACGCAGAGACACGCAGAGAGAGACACGCAGAGACTCGCACACACAGAGACACCTTCGCCGTGCCCTCGTCCAGTGAGTCGCAGAGAGAGACATGCAGAGACACGTAGAGAGAGACACGCAGAGAGAGACACGCAGAGAGAGACACGCAGAGAGAGACACGCAGAGAGAGACACGCAGAGACACGCAGAGACACGCAGAGACACGCACACACAGAGACACCTTCGCCGTGCCCTCGTCCAGTGAGTCGCAGAGACACGCAGAGAGAGACACGCAGAGACATGCAGAGACACGCAGAGAGAGACACGCAGAGACACGCAGAGACAACGCAGAGGCACGCTAGAGAGAGACACGCAGAGACACGCACGCAGAGACACACGCAGAGACACGCACGCAGAGACACGCACGCAGAGACACGCACGCAGAGACACGCAGAGACTTGCACACACAGAGACATGCAGACACACGCAGAGACACGTAGAACATCGCACACACAGAGACACGCAGAGACACGCAGAACATCGCACATACAGAGACACGCAGAGACACGCAGAGAGAGACACGCAGAGACACCTTGGCCGTGCCCTCGCGCAGTGCGTGCCAGCCGGGGGTGGCGAGGGGGGTTGACGTTGGTGACGGTGTCATGAGCGCCGGCGACGACCTCCGTACATCATCGCAAACGGTTAATCTCCTTCTCCCCACCACCCCACCACCCCACCACCGCCCCCCACCCCTTACTCCCCCACTACCCCACCCCCCACCCCCCACCACCGCAGCGCGATGGGTGGTCACCCTCGCCACCTTGCTGTTGCTCTCGGTCGTGGTGGGCGTCGCGGTCGCCATCGCCCTCTGGCAGCTGAGGAGGTGAGGCAACCGGGGGTGCCACCCACCCTGGGGACGATCGCTCGCTCGCTCGATCCCCGTTAACTCGCTCGCTCGCTCGCTCGCCCGCCCGCCCGCCCTCCCGCTCGCCCTTTCACTTGCTCGATCGCTCCATCCCTCGTTCGATTGATCGATCGCACGCTCGATCCCTTGGTCGCAAGATCCCTCGATCGCCCGATCGCCCGATCCCTCGATCGCTCGATCGATCCCTGAATCACCCGATCGCTCGTTCGATCGCTTGATCGATCGAGCGAGCGAGCGATGTGTTTGTGTCTCTGTGTGTGTCTGTGTGTGTCTCTGTGTGTGTCTCTGTGTGTGTCTCTGTGTGTGTCTCTGTGTGTGTCTGTGTGTGTGTCTGTGTGTGTGTCTGTGTGTGTGTCTTGTGTGTCTGTGTGTGTCTGTGTGTGTCTGTGTCTCTGTGTGTGTCTGTGTGTGTCTGTGTGTCTAGTGCAGCGGTTAGCGCTACGCTACACTACGAACCTGGCGACCCGAGTTCGATTCCCGCTCACGGCCAACACCACCAGTGACGATTATCTGAACCGGTCCTCGTCCTCCCCTAGGTCGACTCAGCCTCAAATGAGTACCTGGCGCGGTGTGTAGTAAACATCGCCGCAAGGGTGGCGTGGTGCTGGCCACCCACCCCCTCGTGTGCCGTTCCGGCTTTCGTAGGTGCTCGCTAACAGCACTTGCCGCTACAGTCTGTTGAGGCTACACGGGGGATCTTTGTCTTTTTTTTGTCCGTGTGTGCCGGTGCACGCAGCCACAAGCTGCTCTTCTGGCAACACATCCCCGATCCGGCGGACAGCAAACTCTTCAAGTCCTTGAATCTGGACATGGCGGTACGGTTGGAAGCGCGGCGTCGCCACATTTTTAACACGGTGGATTTGCCGCCCAGTCACCGGTGATGACTGAGACCCCCCCCCCCGCCACTCGCTACACACACTTGGTTCGGTCACAACTCAGTCCATGCGAGTCCATGGGTCTCTGTATGAGTCTGTTGGTCTCTACGTGAGTCTATGGGACTCCATGTAAGTCTATGGGTCTCCATGTGAGTCTATGGGTCTCTGTGTTAGTCTATGGGTCTGTGTGAGTATGGGTCTCTGTGAGTATATGGGTCTCTGTGTGAGTATGTGGGTCTCTCTGTGAGTCTATGGGTCTCTGCGTGAGTATATGGGTCTGTGTGAGTATGGGTCTCTGTGAGTATATGGGTCTCTGTGTGAGTATGTGGCTCTCTGTGTGAGTATGTGGGTCTCTCTGTGAGTATGGGTCACTGTGTGAGTCTATGAGTCTCTGTGTGAGTTTGTGGGTCTCTGTATGAGTCTATGGGTCTCTGTGTGAGTCTATAGGTCTCTGTGTGAGTCTGTGGGTCTGTGTATGAGTCTGTGGGTCTCTATGCGAGTCTATGGGTCTTTATGTCAGTCTATGGGTCTCTGTGTGAGTCACTGGTGATTGAGAACCTGGTGGGAGCATCGTAGTGAGTCAGCTGAACCCCCCCCCACCCCCACTGTACAACCACCAGAATCACCATCAGAATCTTTATCCTGCAGGAGTCCGATGAGCTTCGGAACTCTTCTTCACCGATGTCCAGCACACCGAGAGATGGAGAGCCCACCTCTAAAACAGTAGCACGATTCGAGTGGAAATTCCACCTCCTCCAAACCACGCACGCATGCACCCCCCCCCCCTCGGCCGTCTTTGTCTCCCCGGCGCGGCGCTTGCGTGTACAGCGTGTACAGATCGCACGGGGAGATGGAGTTACCAGCTCTTAACAAAAACAACAACGGCACAATTCGAGCGTGAATCTCACTTTATCCACACCGCGCACGCACAACCCCCCCCTTCCCCCCAACCTCGGCCGTCTTTGTCTCCCCAGTGGGCACTCGAGTGCCGGGTGAAGGTTCGGCGGCTCGTGCGTGTGCAGACGATTGCCCGCCCGCACCCTAATGTGCGAACCTCCGGTGCCCCCCCCCCCCTCCTCCAGTGCTCCTACTCGGCGTTCCCCTCGGACGACGCGTTCGTATCGCCCGTCACCGCCGACGGCGTCACCGCCGACGGCGTCTCCGGCGGCGGCAAGGGCGGCAAGTGCCGCTCGACGATCACCGAGGCGGGCGACGCCGACCCCGACGCCGACAGCGAGTCGAGCAGCGGCGTCGGGGGCTCGTCCGGGCTGTCGACGCCTCGGTGCCCTTCGCTCACCGCCGCCAGCGGCGACGCTGCCGCCGCGCCGGCGCCGCGGGTCATCGTGTCCACCGGCTACTTCAAGACGCTGCCTGTCAGCTCGGGCCTCGAGATCGTGCGGCTGGCACCGGGCTCTACCGCCGCCGGGGAGGACGAGTCGTGCGAGGCGATGGGCACGGCCGGCGGGAGGGCCGAGGACGAGGAGGCGGTGGGGGCGGCGATCCCGCAGGCCGTAGGTCGGCAGGGAGATGCCGAGGACGACGAGGAGGAGGAGGAGGAGGAGAGATTTTCCGCGTTGGACTTGCGGTGCGGTGGCGACGGTGGAGGCGGAGCGGCGTGCGGGACGCCGCCCTCCGGCTGCAACGATTTCTCGCACCTCATGCCGCCGCTGTCGCCGGATTCCGGCGCGGCGGGATTTGGCGACGGCGGGCAGCTGAGGCTGCCGGACGACTTCGACATCGCGAAGCTGATCGCCGTCGGGGGTTTGTGAACGGAATCGCAGGCGGGCTCGGCTACGATCACCGGGGGGTGGAATGAACTGCCGCCGTGTGAGAGAGAGGCGGGGAGCAGCACGCAAGCCGCATTTTTCTTTTCTCGCCGACAAACATTGTGTGGTTTTGGAACGCGTGCCTTTCAAACAAACGAACGAACGTTTTCAATTTGTTGTACGTGAATGTAGATTCTTTTTTACTGCTGCTGCTGTTTTTTTTTTATCACCGCCATGGACTTCTCAAAAGGGCAAGATACCCGGGTCGAAGCACTGGGTTCAAGGGGCACCACGGTGGCTAGGAGATGTTAACTCCCTCGCCTGGTACACAGGAGGTCGTGGATTCGATTCCGACCTCCGACGATGCCTGCTGCTGCTGCTGTGTATTTGGAGTCTGCGTGTCTCTCTCTCTCTCACCGTGGTGGTGGCGTGAATTTTTCTCCAGGGTCCTCCTGTTTTTCCTCTCCACGTTTAGAACCGACGTCACCACGCTTTGTTGAACCCCGGCTAGGACACGAGTTCGATTCCCGCTCACGGCCACCAAACACCGGTGACGATTATCGGAACCGGTCCTGAGGCCTCCACTAGGTCGACTCAGTCTCAAATGAGTACCTGGTGCTGTGTGTGTAATAAACATCGTCACTGAGGGAGACAAAGGCGGCCGGGCGTGGTGCTGGCCACCTCCACCCCCTCGTGTGCCACAGTGCCGGCCTTCATAGGTGCTGTGACTCACTAACAGCACTTGCCCCGAGTCTGTTAAGACTATACAGGGGATCTTTGTCTTTGTTGTGTGTCTGCGTGTGTGTCTGTGTGTCATAGGCGCTGCTGCTACTCGCTAACAGCACTTGCCCCGACGGTCTGTTAGAGGCTACACGGGGGATCTTTGTCTTTGTCTCCTTCATAGGCGCTGCTGCTGCTACTTGCTAACAGCACTTGCCCCGACAGCCTGTTAGAGGCTACACGGGGGATCTTTGTCTTTGTCTCCTTCATAGTTGCTGCTGCTGCTACTCGCTAACAGCACTTGCCCCTACAGTCTGTTAGAGGCTACACGGGGGATCTTTGTCTCCTTCATAAGTGCTGCTGCTACTCGCTAACAGCACTTGCCCCGACAGCCTGTTAGAGGCTACACGGGGGACCTTTGTCTTTGTCTCCTTAATAGGCGCTGCTGCTACACGCTACTAACAGCACTTGCCCCGACAGTCTGTTAGAGGCTACACGGGGGATCTTTGTCTCCTTCATAGGTGCTGCTGCTACTCACAACTAACGGCACGTACCCCGACAGTCTGTGAGAGGCTACACGGGGGATCTTTGTCTTTTGTGCGTGCGAGAAAGAGAGAGACACCAGATGTTGTTAGACAATCTAACACCGACTTTTTGGTGCCAGGCGTTTATTGCGGCTTTTTCTTTCCGCCTTCGGGGGGGGGCGCGGTGTGGTGGGGGATGAGGGGGGGTGGGGGGAAGTGGGGGGGGGGGGGCTGGGTGTCTTATAAAACCCGGAGAATTGGCGGAGAAAAGATTGTAAAGCGAGTCTCTGATGCCTGGCGGTCGTTTTGGCAATACGCTGGCAAGAGAGCGGGGGGGGATGGTGGGGGTGGGGGTGTTGTGGGGGTGGGGGGGGATGTTGTGGGGGGGGGTTGTGGGGGGGGTTGTGGGGGGGGAGGGTGTTGTGGGGGGTGAACCTCTTTGGTTGCTGTTACATGTTGTGTACGTTTGAACCTCCTCGCTCGCCGTGCCAAAGGAGAAGACCTCTTCACTGTCGCGGGCAATTTTTCAAACGATCGCCCCCGGGAAAATTTGGCGCGCGTGGTCGTCGTTGTTGTCGTTGTTGTTGTTGTTGTCGTCGTTGTTGTTGTTGTTGCGACAAAACGAACGTAGTCGTTTAGCCTCTGCGCTTGCCGTGCACATCCGTACGTAGCCCCGTTGGCTTCGTACGGCGCGAAAGAAGTTTGCGCGTAGCACGGCCCGAGCCTCCTGTGTGCGTCTCTTTGTAGTTAAAGCTGAGCGTCGTGTACGGTCAGGCCGGGGTTCATCCGGGGGGTAAACCACGGCGGTTAACCCACGCAGCAGGTCGGTCGGAAGTGTCACGGGTTCACGTCCTGGTTGGTGGTGGGGGGGGGGGGTTGGGTGGGCGGGGGTTGACTCAGCCCATCAGCCATCCATGTGGGGTGGTGGGGGGTGAGTAAAACGAGTACCAACTTTGCGATGCTGCCCGGGCCGGCAAGTCGACGCACGCTCGCAGCAGCGGCGCAGTTGTGATAGCGTTGTTGTTGTTGTTGGCACGGCCACCCACCACCCACCCACCAGTCACCCACCCAGCCACCACCCACCCACCACCCAACCACTCAGCCACCACCCACCCACCAGCCACCCACCACTCACTCACCCACCAGTCACCCACCCACCAGCCACCCACCACTCACCCACCCACCGTTGGCGGCACTACCGGGCCGGCAAGTCGACGTACGCTAGCAGCAGCGGCGGCGCGGCGTTGTGGTTAGCGTTGTTGTTAGCGTTGTTGTTGTTGGCGTCGTTGTCGATGCTGGCGCCGCCGTCGCCGCCGCCGCGGTGCTCGAGGGCGTAGAAGCTGCGCGCCAGCTCGTGGTGCAGCACCAGGCTGCCCGCCTCGTCGCTGAAGCGCAGCGAGAAGCAGAGGGACGCGGGGTCGCCAGCGCCGCTCAGCGCCGCCGTCACGTCAAACACGTCGTAGGGGGCCGCCGGCGGCGGCGCCGCGCCAGCGAAACCACGGTCCTGATCCGGCTCCCGGCGAACGCCAGGCCCGGGGTTTGGACTTGCGACAGGCGGCGGCAGCGGTGGTGGTGGCGGCGGTGGCGCTCTCTGGCGTGGACCGGATTCGGATCGAGCCCCCGGTTTTGAGATGGGACCCGTTCCCGGATCGGGGTCCGACCCGGGTTTTGATTCCGGTCGGGGTGTTGGTTGTGGCTTGGGTCCCACCCCCCCCGGTGGATCCAGTTCTAGTCCAGATTCCGGTTTGCCGGTGGGTCCCACAGGCAAACCGAATTCCAGTCGTGGCCTCCGTTCCACTTCCGATCCGGGTTCTGGTTTTGCTGTGGGTTCGACTCCCGGTCCGGATTGGAGTCCACCCTCTGACTCGGAGCCTCCCCCTAGCTGACGTCCAGTTCCGGGTTTATGTTGGAGTCCAGTCTTTGATCCGGAGCCAGCGTCTAGGGATGGGGTTGGTGTCAGAATCGGAATCAGTCTTTATACTGCAGGAGGAATCTGATGAGTTATGAAGCTCTTTTTGCACAGGTGCGTCACAGGTAGGGGCACGGGGTCGTGACGTTTCAACAACAAAACAATTTCAATTTCGCAAAGTATTTTAAAAGTAAACAAATCACTTTAAAAAAAATATACAAATATAACTAAAACATTTGTTTTTTCAACTTACAAGGTAAAGTCCGGCCGAGCCATTCAGCTTATTGTTCAGAAGCGACCTGGATATCGCTCGTGGCAGCTAATTCAAATGCGCGGGACGTCAAAATCGCCATTCTCATTTGCCTCGCCGTCATCTCAAAGGCCAAGCGCCGATGTTGATCGGCGTGCCGTGTGACGGAGCAAAAGCAGCGGCAGTCGTTGGGTGCATCAAGGACATCCGGTGTTGGTGCTTCCGTTCTTCCAGCGCAAAGCCATCGGCGACTAAAGCATCGTGCAAACTCCGGCCAGCAGCAGGAGTAGCAGCAACAGCGGCTTTTGGCTGACCGTCGAACAAAGACGGTACTGGTCACCGCATCGCCAGCGTCGCGCGGCGCTTTCAGATGCTGCTGCTTCTGCGGCCGTCTGGAACGCTCTCTTCCTTCCGATACGAAGACGCTACCGAGAGCTGTGATGCACTTTTAAATGATTTCTTTAGAACTGCTCGTTGTTGTTGTTGATGTGTTTAGTTTGTTGTCCTTCCCCTGCACCGCCGATTAGCACGGTGCGAAAGAAGTTCAACATTCATACATAGAGACCCGTAGACTCACACAGAGACCCGTAGACTCACACAGAGACCCGTAGACTCACACAGAGACCCGTAGACTCACACAGAGACCCGTAGACTCACACAGAGACCCGTAGACTCACACAGAGACCCGTAGACTCACACAGAGACCCGTAGACTCACACAGAGACCCGTAGACTCACACAGAGACCCGTAGACTCACACAGAGACCCGTAGACTCACACAGAGACCCGTAGACTCACACAGAGACCCGTAGACTCACACAGAGACCCGTAGACTCACACAGAGACCCGTAGACTCACACAGAGACCCAGGGACTCACACAGAGACCCGTGGACTCACACAGAGACCCGTGGACTCACACAGAGACCCATGGACTCACACAGAGACCCATGGACTCGCGGCATCGTTCCAGACGCGCTGTTTCTGCGGCCGTCTGGAACGCTCTTCCCTTCCCTCCGATGTTCGGAAGCCACTGGGAGCTGTGCCACTCTGAAATCATCGTCTCGAGTGACGATCTTCTCCATACGTACGTACATGTTGCGTAACCCTTGCTCAGGATCACGCCATGATGAGCGGACTGATTTTGACTTTTTATTTGATGGGAAATTCAGCCCGCCTATGCACGAGTGTTGATTTTGTGGCTTTTGTACGAGTTATAACTAATATATGACGAAAAGCTACTTTTATTTGACCAGGTATGTCCCACTGAAGTGACCTGGCTACCACAAATGAAGACTAATTGAAGTGGATTATCATCACGTGGACATTTAAAGCAGCAGCAGCCAAATACTCTGAACGCGTGGTGACGTCCATCCTAAATGTGGAGGGGGGGAACACCCGGAGAAAAATCCACGCGACCACGGGGTGAGAGAGAGACACGCAGACTCCAAATATACAGCAGCAGGTGTCGTCAGGGTCAGGACTGAACCCACGACCTCCTGTACACCAGGCGAGGTAGTTAACATCTCACCACAGGGAGAGAGAGAGACGCCAACTCCAAATATACAGCAGCAGGCGTCGTCAAGGTCAGGATTGAACCCACGACCTCCTGTACACCAGGCGAGGTAGTTAACATCTCACCACAGGGAGAGAGATAGACACGCAGACTCCACATACAGCAGCAGCAGGCGTCGGGTCGAGACTGAACCCACGACCTCCTGTACACCAGGCGAGGTAGTTAACATCTCACCACAGAGAGAGAGAGAGAGACACGCAGACTCCAAATATACAGCAGCAGGCGTCAGGGTCAGGACTGAACCCACGACCTCCTGTACACCAGGCGAGGTAGTTAACATCTCACCACAGGGAGAGAGACACGCAGACTCCAAATATACAGCAGCAGGCGTCAGGGTCAGGAGTGAACCCACGACCTCCTGTATACCAGGCGAGGTAATTAACATCTCACCACAGGGAGGGAGAGACACGCAGACTCAAAATATACAGCAGCAGGCGTCAGGGTCAGGAGTGAACCCACGACCTCCTGTACACCAGGCGAGGTAGTTAACATCTCACCACAGAGAGAGACACGCAAACTCCAAATATACAGCAGCAGGCGTAAGGGGTCGTGATCGAACCCACGACCTCCTGTACACCAGGCGAGGTAGTCAACATCCTAGCCACCGCGGCGCCCGAGATGATGATCGTTAATCGACTGTGGCAGATTTATTTTTAAAACCACACTGAAGACTGCCGTTGAGTGTTTCCCCGCGTGTGAATTGCTTGAAAGGTCTGGAGGCATTTTACACTGAAGATGAATAATAATGATTAAAAACAATTTAATAACAAACCCTTTTATGAATGTAATGTCACTTTTGTGTGTACAACAAAAATGCCATATTAAAATATTTTTTAACTAACCATGTTGAGTCCACTCGCATTTCTGACATCTTGTGAAGTCCTATTGTTTGTGTTTATTGTTTGTTTGTGTGGTGGTCGCGTGGATTTTTCCCCGGGTCCTCCGATTTTCCCCCTCCACGTTCAGAATCGACGCCACGCACGGCATCTCTGCCACAGGTGACCTCACCAGCGGTGTGTCGGGGAGCCGCGCGGGTCGAGTGCCGGGCCAGGCTGATGGTGGAGCGGTCGAGCCAGTGGGGTGGTCGACTCGGGTGGACGCTGAGCACCGACACCCCGACGCTGAGGAAGTCGCCCTCGCCCTGCAGGTCGTTCTGGCGGAGGGGGGGGGGGCATTAGGAGTCAGAGGGTTTTTTAAAATCCTTTATATTAAGTTCACTTGCTTGCTTGCGCGCTTACGACCGTGCAAATCTTTCGGTCGTTTTTTAACCCACTTCCCGTGATCCAATCGAGCTGACATTTTGCACACAGACTCGTTGTGCGTGACAATTAATTTTCGTGAAAATTTTTTCCAAAATTTTACACTTTTTAGGATTTTTTAAAAATATTTAATTACAATTGCTTAATGGTGGCAGGCAATCATCTGACCCATTGGTGGCAGCCATCTCAAGCCAGAGGACGAGAGGACTCGAGCCGCCACGCATATAAAGGATTTATAGTGAGAAACTTTGTTTTTACGGGTTAATTTTTTTCAGTTTCATTTCATTTATTTGGTATAGCCCTGTGAGCCATTCGGCTCTTGAATCGGGTGCAACCGCAACAAACAAAAAACATGAACAAGAAAGCATATTAAAGTGACTATGCGCAAACAGAAAATTTCAGGACAAAACTGCAAAGTCTTCCAGAAAAAAGCAACGCTGTGCAAACATCCCAGTGGGATGCAAGTCAAACAACAACACCAACAAAGGGGTCACGGTGGTGGTGACCCTGGCGGTGGGGGCAAGGTGACGACGGGGGGACATCGGCCAGGATTGTGGCTGTGAGGAATGGGCAGTGACGAGGCGAGCAGTGGACGCTCCTCCAGCTGCTGCTGCTGCTACAGCTGCTGCTGCAGCTGCTGTGGCTGCTGCTGCTGGGGCTGCTATGGCTGCTGCTGCAGCTGCTGCGGCTGCTGCAGCTGCTGCTGTTGCTGCTGTGGCTGCTGCTGTGGCTGCTGCTGCTGCGGCTGCTGCTGCGGCTGCTGCTGCTGCTGTGGCTGCTGCTGCTGCGGCTGCTGCGGCTGCGGCTGCTGCTGCTGTGGCTGCTGCTGCGGCTGCTGCTGCTGCTGTGGCTGCTACTGGGGCTGCTGCTGCTGCTGTGGCTGCTGCTGTTGCTGCTGCGGCTGCTGCTGCTGCGGCTGCTGCTGCTGCTGCGGCTGCTGCTGCGGCTGCTGCTGTGGCTGCTGCTGCTGTGGCTGCTGCTACGGCTGCTGCTGCTGCGGTTGCTGCTGCTGTGGCTGCTGCTGCTGCTGTGGCTGCTGCTGCTGCGGCTGCTGCTGCGGCTGCTGCTGTGGCTGCTGCTGCTGCGGCTGCTGCTGCTGCTGCTGTGGCTGCTGCTGTGGCTGCTGCTGTGGCTGCTGCTGTGGCTGCTGCTGCTGCGGCTGCTGCTGTGGCTGCTGCGGCTGCTGCTGCGGCTGCTGCTGTGGCTGCTGCTGCGGCTGCTGCTGCTGCTGCTGCTGTGGCTGCTGCTGTGGCTGCTGCTGCTGCGGCTGCTGCTGCTGCTGTGGCTGCTGCGGCTGCTGCTGCTACTGCTGTGGCTACTGCTGCTGTGGCTGCTGCTGTGGCTGCTGCTGTGGCTGCTGCTGTGGCTGCTGCTGTGGCTGCTGCTGTGGCTGCTGCGGCTGCTGCTGCTACTGCTGCTGCTGTGGCTGCTGCTGCTGTGGCTGCTGCTGCTGCTGTGGCTGCTGCTGTGGCTGCTGCTGCTGCGGCTGCTGTGGCTGCTGCTGCTGTGGCTGCTGCTGCTGCTGTGGCTGCTGCTGTGGCTGCTGCTGTGGCTGCTGCTGCTGCTGCGGCTGCTGCTGCGGCGGCGGCTGCTGCTGCTGCGGCTGCTGCTGCGGCTGCTGCTGCTGCTGTGGCTGCTGCTGTGGCTGCTGTCTGTGCCTCGGATCGTGATGGCGATGGTGGTTGTTAGCAGGGTTGGCTGCGTACGGTGCGAAAGAAATTACACATACAGACATACAGACAGACATACATAGAGACAGACACACATACAGACATACAGACACACAGACAGAGACAGACACAGACATAGAGACAGACACACATACAGACATACAGACACACAGACATAGAGACAGACACAGACAGACACAGACATACAGTCAGACACACATAGACACACAGACATAGACACACAGACAGACACACAGACAGACACACACATACAGACACATGCATACATACATACAGACACACACAGACACACACACAGACACACACAAAGACAGACACACAGACAGACAGACACACAGACAGACAGACACACACACAGACACACACACAGACACACACATAGACAGACCTATAAACGGAGATACAGAGGAAGACCTCTAACAGAGAGGGATCGGTGCCAGACAAGAGGTGGCCACTTCTTGTCTGGCACCGATCCCAGAGAGAGACACACAGAGAGAGAGAGACCCACACACAGAGAGAGAGAGACACACACACACAGAGAGACAGAGAGAGACACACACACACACAGAGAGACACACACACAGAGACACACACAGAGATCGAGAGAGAAAGTGGAAGCGGCACGTGAAGAGACGTGCATCACCACCACTACCACGGACTGCTACTACTGTGCTATCTGCCCCATGGATCGTGATGATGTTCGTCATCATCATCATGTCGACGACTACGATGACGACGACGATGACGACGACGATGTACAACTGTACCTTGAATTCCAGCACGCGCCTTCGAAGGACCAATCTCAGAACGGTGCCGGGTGTCCTGAGGCCCGAGGCATTGAAGCAGAGCTGGCCCCTGGGACTCCCTGCACGGTGACAGGGGGATAGACAAAGATCCCCCGTGTAGTCTTAACAGACTTTTGGGGTAAGTGCTGTTAGCGAGCACCAATGAAGGCCGAAACGGTACACGAGGGGGTGGGTGGCCAGCACCACGCCCGACCGCCTTTGTCTCCCCAGTGGCGATGTTTACACACCGCACCAGGTACTCATTTAAGGCTGAGTCGACCTCGGGGAGGTCCAGGACCGGTTCAGATAATCGTCACTGGTGTTAGCCGTGAGCGGGAATCGAACCCGGGTCGCCAGGTTCATAGCGCAGCGCGCTAACCGCTACACTATCGCTCCCCACCGCCACCCCCTGTTTTAAGAGTTGCGAGTCTGCGAGCACCTATTATCATTCATTATCATCATCATTCTTCATCATTATTCATCATCGTTAATCATCGTTCATCATCATCATCCATTATTATCATCTTCATCATCATCATTCATCATCATCCATTCATCATTATCATTCTTCATCATCATTATCATCATTCTTCATCATCATTATCATCATTTTTCATCATCATTCATCATCGTCGTCATCATCGTCGTAGGTCATTAAAAAACCCAGCAGCAGCCGCGGTCGACTCCAGTCGTTGCGCTCCGCGCGCGCTCGCCCCCACGACCGATCCACAGAGACACCTCCCTGCAGACTTCCTCGTCAAGGCAGCGTGAAGCGTCGTCACGACAACTCCGCTCATCATCATCGTCGTCATCATCGTCATCGTCGTCATCATCGTCATCGTCGTCATCATCATCATCGTCGTCATCATCATCGTCGTCATCGTCGTCACGCCAACTCCGCTCATCATCGTCGTCGTCATCATCATCATCGTCGTCATCATCATCGTCGTCATCGTCGTCACGCCAACTCCGCTCATCATCATCGTCGTCATCATCATCATCGTCGTCATCATCATCGTCGTCATCGTCGTCACGCCAACTCCGCTCATCATCATCGTCGTCATCATCATCATCGTCGTCATCATCATCATCGTCGTCATCATCATCGTCGTCACGCCAACTCCGCTCATCGTCGTCATCATCGTCGTCGCCATCGTCATCATCGTCGTCATCATCATCGTCGTCATCATCATCGTCGTCACGCCAACTCCGCTCATCGTCGTCATCATCGTCGTCGTCATCGTCATCATCGTCGTCATCATCATCGTCGTCATCATCATCGTCGTCATCATCATCGTCGTCATCATCGTCGTCATCATCATCATCGTCGTCATCATCATCATCGTCGTCATCATCATCGTCGTCACGCCAACTCCGCTCATCGTCGTCATCATCGTCGTCGTCATCGTCATCATCGTCGTCATCATCATCGTCGTCATCATCATCGTCGTCATCATCATCGTCGTCATCATCATCGTCGTCATCATCATCATCGTCGTCATCATCATCATCGTCGTCATCATCATCGTCGTCACGCCAACTCCGCTCATCGTCGTCATCATCGTCGTCGTCATCGTCATCATCGTCGTCATCATCATCGTCATCGTCGTCGTCATCGTCTGTATGTAAGAGTCGGGGTTACCTGGCTGGACTTGCAGGCTGCGCAGGGTCACCGCGTCCCCCCACGTCCTGCGCCCCCCCCCTCCACCCCCCCCTCCACCTCCCATCACCGACAGGAGACGTAGGTATGGGTGCAGGGTCGCGGGGGGCCCCCCTCGAGCTCCCCCTTGCTGCACCCTCTCCACCTGCATCATCTCCACGATGCTGCCTGAGGCAGGGCCGAGCCCGGAACGTCGAGACGCCGGCGGCAGTGGAGGAGCCATCGCCCTGCTGCTGATGCTGCTGCTGATGCTGCTGCTGCTGGTGGTGGTGCCGACGATGATGATGATGGGAAATAGGAGGAGGTGATATGGAGGGTTGGCGGATGAAATCATCGCAGTGTGTCTGTGTGTGTGTGTCTCTGTGTAACTCTGTGTGTCTGTGTGTGTGTGTTGTCTCTCTGTGCGTGTCTCTGTGTGTGCGTCTCTCTGTGTGTCTGTGTGTGTCTCTGTGTGTGTGTCTCTGTGTGTGTGTCTCTCTGTGTGTGTCTCTGTGTGTGTGTCTCTCTGTGTCTCTGTGTGTGTGTCTCTCTGTGTCTCACTGTGTGTGTGTCTCTCTGTGTCTCTGTGTCTCTGTGTGTGTGTCTCTCTGTATGTCTTTCTGTGTGTCTGTGTGTGTGCGTCTGTCTGTGTGTGTCTTTCTGTGTGTGTCCGTGTGTGTGTGTGTGTGTCTCTCTGTGTTTGTCCGTGTGTGTCTGTCTCTCTGTGTCTCTCTGTGTGTGTGTCTGTCTCTCTGTGTCTCTCTGTGCCTCTCTGTGTTTCTGTGTGTGTCTGTCCGTGTGTGTCTGTTTGTGTGTGTGTGTCTGTTTGTGTGTGTGTCTCTGTGTGTGTGTGTCTCTCTGTGTGTGTCTGTCTCTCTGTGTTTGTCCGTGTGTGTCTGTGTGTGTCTGTCTCTCTATCTCTCTCCGTGTGGTTATGCGTGTGTTGTCTGTGTCTGTGTGTGTGTCTCTCTCTCTGTGTGTTTATCTGTCCGTGTGTGTCTGTCTCTCTAGTGTGTGTGTCTCCGTGTGGTTGTGTGTGTCTCTCAATGTTTGCCTGCGTGTGTGTGTCTCTATGTCAGTCTATATGTGTGCGTGCCTGTCAATATTTGTGTGTGCGTGTAAATGTTTGTGTCTCTGTGTGTGTGCGTCTGTGAGTCTGGCTCGGTCTATGTGCGTGTGTGAGTCTGGCTCTCTCTGTATAAGTCTGGCTATCTGTCTCTGTGCGCTTGTGAGTCTGTGTGAGTGTCTGTGCGTGTGTGAGTCTGTGTGAGTCTGGCTCTGTCTCTGTGCGTGTGTGAGTCTGTGTGAGTCTGGCTCTCTGTCTCTGTGCGTGTGTGAGTCTGTGTGAGTATCTGTGCGTGTGTGAGTCTGTGTGAGTATCTGTGCGTGTGTGAGTCTGTGTGAGTATCTGTGCGTGTGTGAGTGTCTGTGCGTGTGTGAGTCTGTGTGAGTATCTGTGCGTGTGTGAGTATATGTGCGTGTGTGAGTCTGGCTCTCTCTGTATAAGCCTGTCTGTCTCTGTGCGTGTGTGAGTCTGTGTGAGTATCTGTGCGTGTGTGAGTCTGTCTGAGTATCTGTGCGTGTGTAAGTATCTGTGCGTGTGTGAGTCTGTGTGAGTATCTGTGCGTGTGTGAGTCTGTGTGAGTATATGTGCGTGCGTGAGTCTGGCTCTCTCTGTATAAGCCTGTCTCTCTGTCTCTGTGCGCGTGTGAGCCTATGTGAGTCTGGCTCTCTGTCTGTGCGTGTGTGTTTGCTTAACGTTGTAGCTGAGGGTTGGAGAAATTTCTGGAGGCTATTTTTGCGGATTTATGCTTTTTCGTTTCACAACATTCCCTCCCTAATGCCGCTGTTGACTTAAGTTCGACATCTTTATACAGTTTGCGCAAAGTCGAGTCGTAGGTTTTCCAGTCTGAGGGGAGCTTTATTATTTGAATGCACAAAAGGTTGTGCTTAACTTTGACAGCGGTTTCACAGGCACAGCAAAATGGAGACAATAAAACAACATAAAATAGGGCGACGTTTCGGGCAATGACCCTGTTATTGATGAACTAGCTAAGAACGAAGCTATTGTTTTTATTTTACCAGGTACGGCCCACTACTGAGCTGTTTTAGTCTCTGTGTGTCTATGTTGTGTGTCTCTCTCTGTGTGTCTCTGTGTTGTCACTCTGCTTGTGTGTCTGTCTGTGTGTCTATGTGGTGTGCCTCTCTCTGTGTGTCTCTGTGTTGTCTCTCTCTGCTTGTGTGTCTGCCTGTGTGTCTATGTGGTGTGTCTCTTTCTGTGTGTCTCTGTGTTGTCTCTCTCTGCTTGTGTGTCTGTCTGTGTGTCTATGTGGTGTGTCTCTCTCTGTGTGTCTCTGTGTTGTCTCTCTCTGCTTGTGTGTCTGTCTGTGTGTCTATGTGGTGTGTCTCTTTCTGTGTGTCTCTGTGTTGTCTCTCTCTGCTTGTGTGTCTGTCTGTGTGTCTATGTGGTGTGCCTCTCTCTGTGTGTCTCTGTGTTGTCTCTCTCTGCTTGTGTGTCTGTCTGTGTGTCTATGTGGTGTGCCTCTCTCTGTGTGTCTCTGTGTTGTCTCTCTCTGCTTGTGTGTCTGTCTGTGTGTCTATGTGGTGTGCCTCTCTCTGTGTGTCTCTGTGTTGTCTCTCTCTGCTTGTGTGTCTGTCTGTGTGTCTATGTGGTGTGTCTCTTTATGTGTGTCTCTGTGTTGTCTCTCTCTGCTTGTGTGTCTGTCTGTGTGTCTATGTGGTGTGTCTCTCTCTGTGTGTCTCTGTGTTGTCTCTCTCTGCTTGTGTGTCTGTCTGTGTGTCTATGTGGTGTGTCTCTTTCTGTGTGTCTCTGTGTTGTCTCTCTCTGCTTGTGTGTCTGTCTGTGTGTCTATGTGGTGTGCCTCTCTCTGTGTGTCTCTGTGTTGTCTCTCTCTGCTTGTGTGTCTGTCTGTGTGTCTATGTGGTGTGTCTCTTTCTGTGTGTCTCTGTGTTGTCTCTCTCTGCTTGTGTGTCTGTCTGTGTGTCTATGTGGTGTGTCTCTCTCTGTGTGTCTCTGTGTTGTCTCTCTCTGCTTGTTTGTCTGTCTGTGTGTCTATGTGGTGTGTCTCTCTCTGTGTGTCTGTCTGTGTGTGTCTATGTGGTGTGCCTCTCTCTGTGTGTCTATGTGTTGTCTCTCTCTGCTTGTGTGTCTGTCTGTGTGTCTATGTGGTGTGTCTCTCTCTGTGTGTCTCTGTGTTGTCACTCTGCTTGTGTGTCTGTCTGTGTGTCTATGTGGTGTGTCTCTTTCTGTGTGTCTCTGTGTTGTCTCTCTCTGCTTGTGTGTCTGTCTGTGTGTCTATGTGGTGTGTCTCTCTCTGTGTGTCTCTGTGTTGTCTCTCTCTGCTTGTTTGTCTGTCTGTGTGTCTATGTGGTGTGTCTCTCTCTGTGTGTCTGTCTGTGTGTGTCTATGTGGTGTGCCTCTCTCTGTGTGTCTCTGTGTTGTCTCTCTCTGCTTGTGTGTCTGTCTGTGTGTCTATGTGGTGTGTCTCTCTCTGTGTGTCTGTCTGTGTTTGTCTGTGTTTTGTGCCTCTCTCTGTGTGTCTCTGTGTTGTCTCTCTCTGCTTGTGTGTCTGTCTGTGTGTGTCTATGTGGTGTGCCTCTCTCTGTGTGTCTCTGTGTTGTCTCTCTCTGCTTGTGTGTCTGTCTGTGTGTCTATGTGGTGTGTCTCTCTCTGTGTGTCTGTCTGTGTGTCTCTGTGTTGTCTCTCTCTGCTTGTGTGTCTGTCTGTGTGCCTATGTGGTGTGTCTCTCTCTGTGTGTCTCTGTGTTGTCACTCTGCTTGTGTGTCTGTCTGTGTGTCTATGTGGTGTGTCTCTTTATGTGTGTCTCTGTGTTGTCTCTCTGTGCTTGTGTGTCTGTCTGTGTGTCTATGTGGTGTGTCTCTCTCTGTGTGTCTGTCTGTGTGTGTCTATGTGGTGTGCCTCTCTCTGTGTGTCTCTGTGTTGTCTCTCTCTGCTTGTGTGTCTGTCTGTGTGTCTATGTGGTGTGTCTCTCTCTGTGTGTCTGTCTGTGTTTGTCTGTGTTGTGTGCCTCTCTCTGTGTGTCTCTGTGTTGTCTCTCTCTGCTTGTGTGTCTGTCTGTGTGTGTCTATGTGGTGTGCCTCTCTCTGTGTGTCTCTGTGTTGTCTCTCTCTGCTTGTGTGTCTGTCTGTGTGTGTCTATGTGGTGTGCCTCTCTCTGTGTGTCTCTGTGTTGTCTCTCTCTGCTTGTGTGGCTGTCTGTGTGTCTATGTGGTGTGCCTCTCTCTGTGTGTCTTGTGTTGTCTCTCTCTGCTTGTCTGTCTGTGTGTCTATGTGGTGTGCCTCTCTCTGTGTGTCTCTGTGTTGTCTCTCTGCTTGTGTGTCTGTCTGTGTGTCTATGTGGTGTGTCTCTCTCTGTGTGTCTCTGTGTGTCTCTCTCTGTGTGTCTATGTGTGTGTCTCTCTCTGTGTGTCTCTGTGTGTCTCTCTCTGTGTGTCTCTGTGTTGTCTCTCTCTGCTTGTGTGTCTGTCTGTGTGTCTATGTGGTGTGTCTCTCTCTGTGTGTCTCTGTGTGTCTCTCTCTGTGTGTCTATGTGTGTGTCTCTCTCTGTGTGTCTCTGTGTGTCTCTCTCTGTGTGTCTCTGTGTTGTCTCTCTCTGCTTGTGTGTCTCTCTGTGTGTCTATGTGGTGTGCCTCTCTCTGTGTGTCTCTGTGTTGTCTCTCTCTGCGTGTGTGTCTGTCTGTGTGTGTCTATGTGGTGTGCCTCTCTCTGTGTGTCTCTGTGTTGTCTCTCTCTGCGTGTGTGTCTGTCTGTGTGTGTCTATGTGGTGTGCCTCTGTCTGTGTGTCTCTGTGTTGTCTCTCTCTGCTTGTGTGTCTCTCTGTGTGTCTATGTGGTGTGCCTCTCTCTGTGTGTCTCTGTGTTGTCTCTATCTGCGTGTGTGTCTGTCTGTGTGTGTTTATGTGGTGTGCCTCTGTCTGTGTGTCTCTGTGTTGTCTCTCTCTGCTTGTGTGTCTGTCTGTGTGTCTATGTGGTGTGCCTCTCTCTGTGTGTCTCTGTGTTGTCTCTCTCTGCGTGTGTGTCTGTCTGTGTGTGTCTATGTGGTGTGCCTCTCTCTGTGTCTCTGTGTTGTCTCTCTCTGCTTGTGTGTCTGTCTGTGTGTGTCTATGTGGTGTGCCTCTCTCTGTGTGTCTCTGTGTTGTCTTTCTCTGCGTGTGTGTCTGTTTGTGTGTCTATGTGGTGTGCCTCTCTCTGTGTGTCTCTGTGT